CTCCTGCGGCCCCAGCCGGGCTCCTGCGGCCCCAGCCGGGCTCCTGCCGCCCCAGCCGGGCTCCTGCCGCCCCAGCCGGGCTCCTGCCGCCCCAGCCGGGCTCCTGCCGCCCCAGCCGGGCTCCTGCCGCCCCAGCCGGGCTCCTGTATCAGCACTCTGCATTCAGTACTGCTGTTCTTCCTCCCCCCGCTGCAGGAGGTGGAGCGCAACCTGCAGGACGCCATGCAGGTGTGCCGCAACGTGTTGGTGGACCCCCAGCTGGTGCCAGGAGGAGGGGCTGCAGAGATGGCGGTGTCCCACGCGCTGACGGAGAAGTCCAAAGGCATGACAGGAGTGGAGCAGTGGCCCTACAGAGCGGTGGCGCAGGCGCTGGAGGTCATCCCACGCACGCTCATCCAGAACTGCGGTGCCAGCACCATCCGTGTGCTCACCTCGCTGCGGGTGAGGCACCCGGCTCCTGTGGGGCAGCTCCTCCGGTCTGTTTCTGCTGCCCCGTGGCTCCTGTGGGGCAGCTCCTTTCCCCTGCTCCTGTGGAGCTCTTCCTCCTGCCCCCCCCAGCTCCCATGGGGGCTGATCCTTCCTCCTCCCAGGTCCTGTAGGGCACCTCCTTCCACCCCACCAGCTCCCGGGGCGTTGCTTCTCCTGCCCCCAGGTTCCTATGGGGCTGCTCCTTCCTCCTTCTGGTTCCTATGGGGCAGTTCCTCAGGCTGAGCCTGCAGCTCTTGAGCAGTTGCAGCGTTCTTTTGCGCGGTCACAGAGCTGTAGGGGTTGGGAGGGACCACTGGAGACCCCCTTTCCCCCCTGCTTAAAGCAGGTTCCTTTCATCACCGTGCACCAGAAGTGCCCCGGTGGGCTTGGATCTCTCCAGCAGAGCCCTCCCACCTCTCTGGGCTCAACTGAGATGGAGCTCCCAGCTTCCAGTTTGGTGGAGGGACCCACAGAATCATAGAATGGACCCCAAGGATCAGCGTTCCAACCCCTCTGCCTGCTGCAGCTGTCGGGATTGCAGTTGTACCCGCAGCGCCAATGTGGAATTCAGTGCTTTGTTTCAATGATGACCCCCTGGGGGTGGGCAGGGCTCAAAGCTTCCTCTGTCAGTGCTGAGGGTGGGAGAGGCGAGCGCTCACCTTTCCCTCGTGCTCAGCAACCTCTCTGTCCTCCCTGCAGGCCAAGCACACCCAGGAGGGCAGCCAGACGTGGGGGGTGAACGGGGAGAGCGGAGCCTTGGCTGACATGAAGGAGTTGGGGGTCTGGGAGCCCCTGGCTGTCAAACTGCAGACCTACAAAACGGCCGTGGAGGTGAGGAGGGGGGAGGGATGAGGAGGAGGGGGGGGGTGAGTGTCTGCTGTGTCTCCTTCTGGGGCAGGGAACGTCGCTGCTTGGTGCATGGATGAGCGCTGGGAGGGCAGCACGGCACAGCGCAGCTCAGCTCTGCGGTGCCTTCAATTTCAGCCCAGCGTGAGCGTTTGCTCCCTGGGGTTGGGTCACCGCTGGGGGCTGCCGTCCTTTCCTGGCAGTTGGGTGGAAACATTGATGCTTGCAGCTGCTGCTCTGTGGGGTGAGGGCTGCCCTTGTGTGCTTCCATCCCTCGCTTTTTGCTCTGACCGGGGCTGTGGGCTTTCCCTGCAGACCGCCGTCCTCCTGCTCCGCATCGATGACATCGTGTCGGGACACAAAAAGAAAGGCGAAGAGCACAGCAAGGCGCCAGCACCCACTGAAGCAGCCCAGGAGTAGTGGGGCAGTGGGGCCACATCTGGAGCTGCTGTTTCCCCCCCAGTCCCGAGTTGGAGCAAAGGGTCCCAAAGTCAATTGCCCAAAGTTTGGGGGGTGGGATGGGAACGTGGTGATGGGGACACACAGTGCCTGGGCACGGGGGGGAGCTGTTGGTGTTTAATTTAAGTCTGTAATTCCTTGCAGTTTGCCTCAACAATAAAAGGCATCGCACCCTGTGGGGCTCTGTTGTGAACAGCCGTGAGCTGTCTGTCTGTCCCCGTGCCCCGTCTGCTCCCCTCCCTCCATCTTTGCCATCTGTCCCCCATTTGGCGCATCCTCGTGTCCCCTGCCTGGTCCCCATCTCTCCTGCCCCGCATCCGCTCCCCATTACCCCGTTTTCTGAGCTGCCTTTCAGCCGCCTTTGGCTCCCCGTACTGAAGTTGTTGTAGGGAGTTTTAGCCCCGTTTCTCAGCAAGGCTCTGCGCTCGGCGGGTGAACGGTGCGGACCCGGGGCGGCGGTGTCCCCTACCTCCCCACCTCGGGAGGGGAGCGGCTCCTTTAAGAGCGTCCTCTTCCGGGAGGCGCGGCACCTTTGGGGGGGCGGTCACGTGATGTGCTGCACCGGAAGGAGAATGGCGGCGCCGGCGCTGGGCGCGCTGCTGCTGCTGCTGGGAGCGGCGGCGGTCGGCGGACGGGAGGTACGGGAGGGGGGGGGGGGGGGGGGGGGCGAGCGGCCCCCCCCGCCCGCCCCCCGGCCCCCCCCCCCCCCCCCCGGCGATCGGTCCGTCCGTCCGTCCTTCCTTCCTTCCCTTCCCCGCGGGGAGCGGTGACATTCGAGGCCTTTCGTCCTCCCCGATCCCGCGAATCGCGGCGTCCGTCCGTCCGTCTGTCCGTCCCTGCCTCGGTCCGTCTGTCCCTTCTTCTGTCCGTCCTTGCCTCGCTCTGTTCCTGCCTCAGTCCTTCCATCTGCTCCTTCATCCATCCCTGTCCTGCCTCCCTTCCTTCCTTCCTGTGTGCAGCCCTGCCTCTGTTCCTGCCTTGCTCCGTCTCTACTTCTGTCTGTCCATCCCTACCTCGGTCCATCTGTTCCTGTCTCCATCCACCCCTCCCTTGGTCCGTCCCTACTTCTGTCCATCCTGCCCCCATCCATCCCTACCCCAGTCTGTCTGTCCCTCCCTTGGTCCATCCATCCATCCCTCCCTCAGTCCGTCTGTCCCTACATCTGTCCATCCCTGCTTCCATCCCCCCCTGCTTCCATCTGTCCCTACATCTGTCCATCCCCGCCTCCATCCATCCTTCCCTCAGTCCGTCTGTGCCTACCCCTGTCTGTCCCTACCTCCATCCATCCCTTTCTCGGGACACCCATCCCTACCCCAGTCTGTCTGTCCCTCTCTTGGTCCATGCATCCTTCCTTCAGTCCATCTGTCCCTACATCTGTCCATCCCTACCTCCACCCATCCCTCTCTCAGCACATCCACCGCTACCCCAGTCTGTCTGTCTCTCCCTTGATCCATCCATTCCTCCCTTGGTCCGTCTGTCCCTACATCCCTACCTCTCTCCATCCCTGCCCCTGTCTGTCTGTCCGTCCCTACCTCTGCCCATCCATCCCACAGATATCAATGCAGTACAACCCCGGTTGGAACGGTTCCTCGGTTTCCTCGGTCAACGTTCTGCACGTGCGGGCGGTGGGGCGCGGCGACTCGCTGCACTACGTGTGGAGCAGCATCGGGGCCCCCTCGGTGCTGCTGGTGGCCACAAGCAGCCCCAGCAGCGCTCTGTCCATCGACTGGAGCCGCCTGCTGTCCCCTGCGCCCGCCGGCGCCGTGTGGATCGAGCCACCCGGCAGCGTGGTGCATGCGGCTGCTGTTGTCTTCACCAAGGTATGGGTGGGAGGAGAGGAGCCCCAAGTCTGTGGGGTTTGTGTGGGGTGTGTGGGGTGGTGGTGGGTCCCATCTCCCTGCTCCTGAATGAGTCCTGCAGCCCCAATGCCAAGTGGAGCCATGCAGTGATGTGGGGTTGGGTGAGGAGGAGTCCCTGCTCTGAGATGCCTCAGCTGGAGCTCAGCGTTCAGAGGTGGAGTTCTCAGTGCAGGGGAGACGGTTGGAGGGCTGCAGAAATGAGGGCTGGGATGGATTCCCCCCCCAGCTACTGCAGGTGGGGAGCTGAGGTTGTGCTGCCTGGAGAGGAGAGAGTTCTGGAGAGCTGAGAGCTGCCTGCGGGATGGAAGGGTGGGAGAAGGACAGGCTTTGCAGCAGGGCGAGGGGCAGAGGGGGGAGGTGGTTCCAGCTGTGTGGAGGTCTTCCCAGCACTGCTCTTCCCAGCAGTGGGGAGGCCTTGGCACAGGCTGCACGGGTGCACACAAAACCTGTGTGCTCCATCCCAGCAGAGCTGAGGTTGGGGATGGGGCTGTGAGCACTGGGGGGGCTGTGGGTGTCCCTGCTCACTGCTGAGGGGGAGCAGGCAGCCTCTGGGGGTCCCAACAGTAATTTCCAGAGACGTGGTGTGAAGAGATGACATCCGAAGCATCTCCTGTGCTGCAAACCAGGGGGAGTTGGCAGGGGTGAGAAGGGGGTCCTATGTGTGGGATGGAACGATCGCATACAATGGTACAGGTGGGGCTGAGCTGCTGAAGGGTGGGCCCTGCAGAGAAGGTCCTGGGGGTCCCGGTTGACCACGAGCCAGCAGTGTGGCACCGGCTTTGGTGGCCCTGAAGGCCAGTAGTGTCCTGGTTGGCTGACAGATGACCAGTGGTTAAGCACGAGCCAGCCGTGTGCCTCAATGGCCCAGAAGGCTGATGGTTCCCTGGAGGCACTGCCTGCAGAAGGGCCAGCAGGGCTGGGAGGTGCTGCTCTGCTCTGCTCTGCCCTGAGGAAGGCACTGGGCAAACCGGGAGCTGCAGGGAGAGCCCTGAGGAGGGTGACCGGGGCTTTGAGTGCTGCCTGCTGGGAACGGGCCCAGAGCCCCGGGGAGCGACGGCTGAGGGGGATCTGAGCGGTGCCGATGGATATCAGAAGAGCGGGGGGTCCCTGCGGTGCTTCCCAGCCCCCTCCCCTTCCTTCCCCCAGCTGTTTGAGTACAGCAAGGCCGATGCCTCGGAGGCGGTTTTCTACCCCTCGTACGATCTGTCGAACTTCTCCTGGGACAGCATCAACCGCACCGTGAACCACACGGCGCTGACGGCCGAACTTCGGGGCGTCCCCAACTCCGATCCCGGCAGCAGCTTCTCCAACGGCAGCTTGGCGTTCCGGGTATGGCCGGCGGGACGGGGACACCGTTCCAGAGAAGGGACGTCGCTCCCTGCCGTCCCTCTGACCCACACCTCCCCCAGGTGACTGCTTATGGAAGCGGCGGGCGCGACGGAGCGCCGCCCGGCCTCCTGCACACGGCCAACAGCTCCAAAGTGGAATTCGTCCTGGCCGGGGCGGCCCCGCGGGGCAACGGCTCGCGCTTTGTGCTGGAGGTGACCACGGTGCAGGAGAGAGGGGCGGCATCCAGGCTGCACTCGGCGCGCTCCATCGACGACGAATACACCCCCACCATCTTCAAGGTGAGCGCGGGGTGGGCGCCGTCCCTTCGGTGGCAGCGAGGGCGCAGGGGTGGGGTGCTGTGTCCCCAACCACGGCTCGTAGAATCATGGAGTCACAAGGTTGGAAACGACCTGTGAGATCATCCGGTCCAACCGCCCTGCCGTCACCTCTGCCAGCACCAAACCACGTCATGCAGCTCCTCGTCCAGGCGCCTCTTGAGCGCTGCCAGGGACGGCGGCTCCCCCACCTCCCTGGGCGGCTGTTCCACGCCTGAGAGAAAAAGTTCCTCCTCACATCCAACCTAAACCTCCTCTGCTGCGACCTGCGGCCGTTTCCCTGGGTCCTGTTTGGTACCTGGGAGAAGAGGCCAAATCCCTCCTCACCCCAGCCTCCCTTCAGGCAGCTGCAGAGCGCAGTCAGGTCTCCCCTGAGCTCCTCTTCTCCACGCTGAACCCCAGCTCCCTCAGCTGCTCCTCATCTTTGTGCTCCAGACCCCTCACCATTTCGTTGCCCTTCTCTGCACGCGCTCCAGGGCCTCAAATGTCTTTCCTGCAGTGAGGAGCCCAAAACTGAACACAGCACTGGAGGTGCGGCCTCAGCAGAGCTGGGTGCAGGGGATGCTCACCTCCCTGCTCCTGCTGGCCATTTCTAATGCAGGCCAGGATGCTGTTGGCCCTTTGGCCATCTGAGCACACTGGGCTCCTGTTCAGCCCAGCATCAACCAGCACCCCCAGGTCCTTCTCTTCTTCACACTCATCCAGCCGCTCATCCCCAAGCCTGCAGCGCTGCATGGGGTTGTCGTGCCCAAAGTGCAGCAGCCGACACTTGGCCTTGTTGAACCTCAGCCCGTTCACCTCATCCCAGCTATCCAGCCTGTCTGAATCCCTCTGAAGGGCCTCCCTGCCCTCACGCAGATCAACACCACCTCCCAGCTCAGTGCCATCCGGAAATTGAGGGCGCACTCAATGCCCTCATCCAGGTCATCAAGGGAGATATTAAAGGAGATGGGCCCCAGCACCGAGCCCTGGGGCACCACTTGAAACACGCAGCCACCAAATGAACCCCACTGACCGCAGCACGTCAGGCACGGCCCTCAGCCACTTCCTTACCCAAAGGAGCGCAGGCCAAACCAGGGCACAGGCAGCCGGTTTCCCCAGGAGAATCCTGTGAGGGAGCGAGCCAAAGGCTGCGCTGAGCTCCAGGCAAACACAGAACAGCCCTGCCCTCATCTGCCAGCTGCTCACCAGTCATAGGAGAAGGAGATGAGGTTGGGCAGGCGTGACCTGACTTTCAGGAAGCCGTGCTGGCTGGGCCTGGGGACACCTTGTATGTGTGTGACATTGCCCAGCATGTATGTGTGTGTGTGACATTGCACAGCATGTATGTGTGTGTGTGTGACATTGCACACCATGTATGTTCCATGTCCCATCCCACACCATGTTTGTTCCGTGTCACATCGCCGTTCCCCCTCCCCAGACGCTCTCGCTGGTGGCGGAGTCCCAGAACGGCAGCTCTGCCCTCAGCTTCCTGCAATGGAAGGCGACGGCGTACGGCTCACGGCACCCAACGCGTGCGGACGGCATCCAGTGCCACGCCGGAGGGCTGCGTGCTGCCAGCGACCCCCGGCTCCGCTCCGCCGTCGTCCGCGCCTACTTTGGGGACGGAGCGGGCGGCGCCTACAGCGTCAGCGCCATCAACGTCTCCTTCGGCGGCGAGGACGGCGGCG